ATTTTTGAACTTGACCTTCACTTCCACAACTGCTACTCACCTAACCAATACAAGAACATGTAGTATGCATATCCATCCACAGCTTCTCAAGTTATGCTGTTGACACACATTTGCACAATGTCATACAGACCACAGCCACTCTAATATGGCCAAATAAAAATCGAAAACCTTTTTGTCAAAGGTAATTATATTTTGTAGTTTCACCTGAGCTGAGCTCAGTACATGTTACAACAGACAGGTTCACACAAAGTAGTTTGTGCCCTACCCGCTCCATCTGTACCTTTCTGTCTCCTCAGGCTTCTGAGCTTCAAGTCTGCCCACTTGTTAGTGACGTACCCAAATACAAAGAGTAGAAGACCTATGATGAACCTCGGGTCACTGCATAAGCAACAATAATGGGAACTTGTTTTTTTTTTTTAAATCACAGCACCTTTAACTGCTTGTTAATCTAATTGATAATCTGACAAGTTACGGAACAGTTACTGCTTGAATCTACAAAAGTGATAAATCATTTTAAATGACATTAATTTTATTGAATTAGCTATTAGCAGTAAATATGTTTATCATTAAGCTACAGTACATTGTAACTGTAGCTGTAAACAATTATTCTTAATGTCATAAAGCAAGTTTATCTTGGTTTGGCCAAGCCACTTCATAAGACCTTAAACAGTTCAAGTCAACAAAAACAATAATACACGATGTACTATGGTGAACATCAGCCTTTAGCCTTTAAATTCTGGTCGCCATTTAAATATTAGGGTCAACTAACATGACAAATACTGTGGCAGATGACAAAAGAAGTAATTTTGATCCTTACTAGTAGTACTGGTCAGGATATCTTGCAGAGGAGATCCAATCAGCACACAGGAAACTAAAGATACAGTTGGGAAACAGGCCACCCAGGGTGATTCTGTATAAAATGGGAAACATTGCAAGTCATTATTACACAAAAAAAGAATTCAGAGATCTCAGACCTCCATGAAATGTTTAGATCTTGTGTGATGGTGACCGTGTCCTCTTCTCATTCACTATGGTGTCTACAAGTCTTTCTTTATTGTGTAAAGGAAACCAGCTGTCAAGGAGGTCATGTAAAAAAAAACACCTGTGAAAACAGCAAGAGCTACCAGATGTAGACATTACATCATAGAAAACTTATACACTGTATTGTACATACCCCAGGGGAACTTGAGCCTTGCTGTACCTCATTACAAGAGGGTGGATGATTCCTCTGTAAACAGAATGACATGGACATACATGTTAAAGTTCACACCTATGGCACCCATCCCTATTTCTGTAGCCCTTGGGCCACACGTTGTGTAATCACTGCAGCAGGAGGCTAGTTCACTGGTAATGGTGTGTGTTTACTCCCATACATACTCTTTTCCAAATGCTATTTAGTCTTAAGTATTGTAACAGTGGATGTGTTTATAGGCGCTACCAACTGACCCGGCCGAAGGGTCTAGACCTTTTAGCCGAGTGGTTAGAGCGTCGGCGTGTGGACTGGTACCCGGGTTTGGTCATGGGTTCGAACCCCGGCCCGGGACCAGGTTTTTAAAAATCTGTTTCTACTCGCTCCTCCTGTTTCTTACAGTATGACTCATGACCAGTACCAAACACTCTACCCACTTGGCCATTGCACTGTTGGCACTGGTGACCTCTGTATGTATATGGCAATTTAAAATAAATTTCTAGTGTAGAAAATTAGCAAAAACTGTCAAATTACTCTGGGAAAAAGTTAATACCTGTGAATGTAATGTGCCTGCCACAGGCCCAGAAAAACATAGTTGGTGTACTGCCTCTCAGTGCCATACAGGAAGAATACCTACAGATTGAGAAGAAAAACATAATAAGTTCTGTAACTTAGTGTAAGAGGTGAAAACCAATGTGTTGCAGTACAATATCCGGATCCAAAACCATGATAATTGTATACATTTCATGTGCACATACCAGCAAGAAAAGTAGCACTCCAGGTGTGGCATCAGACAGTATATGGCCCAGTCTCTGGTTGATGGTCACTCCCCAAGATTCACTGTTACCCTGAAACCAACAAGGGGGAGTCTCAATGAGCTGCATTACATCAGGAGGATATAATTTTTTCAATTTTCTTGTAATTTCTTAAAACAAAGTAAGTTGAATCAACCCGACTCCATTCAGGAAGTGGAGGTGCCGTAATTTTATCCCTTACGACTGTGTTTAAAAGTTGGAAACAAGTTACACGTTACAGCCATGTTTGTTTACAGTCTGGTAGTTTGTGGTGGCACCAGAAACTAAGTGCACCTTGTGTGGGCTGTACGGCTCACCGCCAAACATAGATGTCAGAAATGTGAGATGATTGGACAAATATGTTAAACAGTGGAAGTACAATATAATCACATGCATATTGTTTTCAAGTACTTACTTCAATTTTAGTGCAAAAATGTTAATGTTACATAAATTAATGCCCCTTTATCATAAAACGCGTTCTTCGCTAAATGAAAAATGAAATCATATAAGATTAACATGATTTCCCCTGCTTATAATATCATCAAATACCAACCAGTTTCCTACCTGATCAAATTTTCCATAAGGTGCCGGTTTACTGAGCTGTACAAGGATAGTGACGCCCCCTAGCAGGAAGCCAAGGAACACCAGGCCATAGTGCACCCAGAAATGTACGGTGTCAACAGCAAAGGTCCAAGGCAGCAACTGGAAATAATGTGCAAAGTTGAATGCAAACATTACATGATGATCATCATGATACAATATTATTTCATTACGTATCATAACAGACAGGGCTCGAAATACTAGTACTGGGTGCATGTGCACCTTAGTGCACCCAAAATTGGAGCTGTGCACACAATTTTTTTCTGTGGGTGCACTGCTGCATCCAAATATTTTTGTAGGCATTTTTGTACATACTAATTGTATAATAGTATACGGGATATTCTTGGCATCTAAGTGCCAGAAAATTTTTGTTTTAGTACTTGGTTAAGATTTTGAAGTTCAAGCTCAAGCTCAGAAGTGGAGCTCAGTAAGATCTGTTTTGTTTTATGAGGTGCACCCAAAACAAATTTTGTGCACCCAATTTTTTAGGTTGGGTTTTAGGTTATATTCCCAAAAATTAATTTCGAGCCCTGTTATCATATGAAAAACTATATATTAAAGGTTCAAACAAAAATGTCTTATATATCTCATAATTTGGTACTCTCCAAGCAGAGGTTTGGGTTTTGGGGGTATTTTTAGTGTGTTTTTAGGCTTTTTTATCGGGGTTTCTCTTTTGCACTGAATTTTTTTTCCACCAACCAACATGCGACAAAAAAGCCTAAAAACACACTAAAAATACCCCCAAAACCCAAACCTCTGCTTGGAGAGTAATAATTTGGGCACGTTATTCTATTTGGGTTTGGTGGGAAAAAAAATTCAGTGCAAAAGAGAAACCCCGACAAAAAAGCCTAAAAACACACTAAAAATACCCCCAAAACCCAAACCTCTGCTTGGAGAGTAATAATTTGGGCACGTTATTCTACTACGCACGTTTTATTCCTAATAACTTGATGCATTCAATAATTAGTCTCGATTGCTGCTGCACCTTACATAACGGTGTGAAGTTTGTACTCACTTGAAACATTCTTAAAGCGAGCTTTAAAGAGATCGCATGCACGACTTCCAGTGGTGTTTACTTTTCGAGACGTCTTGGACGTCCAGCTCTCTGCAGCTCAGTGTCTTCTCAACCTCCTTGGTCGTGCTCGAACGTTCCGGTCCTTCCCAGCGTAAGTTTGAACCTGCTTTTGTTGTAAGACACTGATTTGTTAACCTCGTCTTTAGCCAAACTGTTTCTTGCATAAGCCAAATTTATGAAGCGACCCAATGAAGCTGAGCATGTAAACAAACTAGGTGAAAGGTCAGAGGCTAAATTTGCTGGCTTAGTAAACCTAGCAGGTGATTCACCGGTTTATGATTCCATTCACAACATTGTGTGGTGAAGCGTTAGAGTTTTGTATTCTTCCGTGAACACACTTTAGTCACTGATGTAACAAGTATGATGTTTTTAAAAAAACACAGGCGACGATTTTGTGTTTAACTGTTCCGTTCTTTATAAATCGTTTTTTTTTCAAATACGTACACATATAATTCAGAAAGAATCCAGAATTTCTGTACAGTACGAGGAAAGCCGTCAGGGGTCCAAAATCAGTTAGACCCAGGTAAATTTATGTTGTGTTTCTAGCCCTTGAAAAATTAGAATCGCTAGATAGGGATTCACCTTTTTTATCTGTCTTTTGTTTTTTTTCATAGATCTTTATAATTAGTGATCCAACTAATACAGTTAATATAACAATGAAATGTATAAGTACACTGGTATCTTTAACACCACCCTAATTTCGCCCCTAGAGATATAATAGTGAAACGCCGTCTTGGGATTACCGTAAATTCCCGAAAGTACGCACCCCTTGTGCTTCTGTGCATGTAGCATGTATGTCTTAAAAACAGTTAGTTCTAGAAAATATCGTTTAAAAATAAATTTAGGCCGTGTACTATATACGTGATTGCATGATAACTGGATACAGTATTGTAGCGGGAAGCGTTTCGTGTTGGGGCTAGTTTTCATCGCTGGCTGCAGCCGATTTGCAAGACGTCACCACCGCATCGAAGGGTAAGGCAAGTGCGGCGAAACGTACAGCTTTGGATCACGGAGAGTGTTGGTGATCAAGCAAGCAATGGTCAATAAAGATTTGTGAATATTTCAATAATGGTTTTATCGGTAACAAGGGTTATAATGTTGATGCACAAGTACGTAGCTTTGTTGTTCTTTACTTCTATACGAAATGCGCCGAACACTTTAATAGGGCCCGCCCGGTCGAACCATAGAGAGCAACAATCATCGAGGCGGAGGTCTGGGCGGAGTTAATGAATGAATGAATGAATAAAGACCTTTATTGTACACACATACCCATTGGGTTAAGTACGGGTCACAAAAAGGATGGAATATAGATAACAAATATGTTAATGCTACTGTGGGTGTAGAAGTGCTACCGGATAATCAAAGGAATTATATACACTTCAAATATGTATTAATTTGTACTCCGTAAAACCAAGGACATTATACACACATAATGTCCTTGGTAAAACTGAGTCTGTTCAGAGGAAAGAAATACTTCCTTCTCGGGGCCAAGGTTCTGGAAAGCTGTCCTAAACGATGCCACGACCCTCTCTTCGTTCTTCAGCTGTATGTGCACTTTGCAGGGGAAAAAGATCGGCGTGCACAAGACAACGGGCGCAGCATGATTCAAAGTTTATTTTATTTACGCCCTTATTCACGCCGATCAAAAGAAACTGCGACAATTCGGTACGTGCAGGCCCGTGCACGTGGCGACACAGGCTGGCTTCCCGCTCTAGCTGTGGGTTCCCACGATGTGTTGCCAAGGGCAGCGGCACGTACACAGACCTACCGGCGGATCCCACCCACCGGGCGGCGGTAAGATTTTCAAAGACTACATTTTTAACTCCGCCCCTATCATTGTTGTGTGCCGAACAGTCGAGTACATCTAACTTGCATTTTCACGTCGTACTGACTGGTATAGCCCGCTACAAAGTAATTTCCTGTTGCATTAAACAAGATTTAAAAAGATTTGTGATACGAAATGAAATATTGATAACAATTTATGTTAACTGAACCTTTGTAACGGCACGGAGACAATCTTTGTTGAAGATTTCTGAGTTCAACGCAAGCCGGAAGTGCAATAGAACTGACCATCAGTCGAGGTACAGCTATTATGTTATCACCTGTTACGTTACGACGATCAAGAACGTTCACGGCTTGTGGACCATTTCAAATATTACCACTCATAAACCCTCTTATAATTTCATATGTACTTACGTGGGGTTTAATATTATTTAAATTTTAGGCCGGAGTTCCACGAGATCGGCGCCGGCTGGCTGGGGAACGATCCCGTCGGCATGATGGAGCGACGGGCGTCGTCAAAACGATACAAAAATGTTTACAAGCACAA